TGATCAACCCTCTACTGTGGATAAAGTGGTCAACCCTCTACTGTGGATAAAGTGATCAACCCTCTCATGAGGATAAAGTGATCTAACATTTTAAGTCTAACATTTTCATTGTGTGGAAACCCCTGGGATAGGCAATCTTGAAAGTTGAAAAAGCTACTTTATAAGATGAAAAACATTTTCTCACTAATCCTGGTCGTCGAGTAATTTGAACCCACACGCCTTTAGGCAAAGGGTATCATGCGTTGTGGTCCACAGACCAAGTCTACTTGACCATCAAGCCTGTCTTAGTAAACAGCTGTTATAAATATCAAATATGATGTCACAGAAATAAAGAGTTGATTACCTTGAAAGCAGTTCTTTCACAGCATTGCTGTCTGTTTTGTTGCTCATAAAGACTAAAGATGTTACCACACCAAGCTTTAACAATAATTTCACTCTTTTTACAACGTATTCTGGAGCATCCTGTGTTAGAAATATTCATTAGCTCAACAATATTGCCATTAATTAAAGATTGTATAACTACCTCTTTCAACCCCTAAAGTGACTGACATGATTTCCATTTTGCAATTTATCAAATTGTAACAAAATTGGCACTTACTGTAAAAGGGTTAATTATTTTGGGTTTTAATTTTTAACTGGAAAATGCGCTAAATTAAAACCCAGGGAATATGTAAAATTTAGCATGGAACACATTATCTAAATGATAAAACCGTGAATTTAAAACCTACTGAATATGCCTGAAATGGTAAATCTGCAAAATTTAAACCGGGTGAAAATTAGTCATTTTACAGTATATATTTTGACTTAACATAAATACAAGGATCACCAATATTTGTTTTCATTGTATTCAGAAAGACAAAATCTGATATAAATTGACAGGGTAGGGAGTACTTCGACATTTCTTAGCTTCACTTACTTTTAAATGTTCTTCAGGAACATGCTGCTTAGCAAATCTAGCAAGATCAACAAGTTCTTTTGGAGGTTCATCTTTGTAGTAACTGTTTGTCAGATTCACGAAGATTGATGCATAGCCATAGTACATTGAAGTATCCATAGTCTGAAAAGTAGAAAACATATCAGCTGATTAGATTAAATAAATACCTCCAACAAGCAAATAAACAAACTCAAACTATTTTGTATGAAGATAAATTGCAAAATTATGTTGTGAAATAAACAAATACAAAATCTTTGCAGACCTAGTCAGTGATTTACCTTAGCAGTTTGATTACCAGTACAAGATTGTGTTGTGAAATAAACAAATACAAAATTTTTGCAGGCCAGACAGTGATTTACCTTAGCAGTTTGTATGACAGCTTTGAGAGCTTCTTCATCTTCACAGAGTGCTTCCTTGACATCAGCATCTAACGTGAGGTAGCCCAAACCTTCTGCAGCCCACTTTCTAATATCTGCATCTTTTTGTGCATTTAGAAGAAATCTAATGAAAAAAGATGCAAATTTAGCTTGAAACAACATTATCTTCATAACTGCTCATGTGCATAAGGATTTAAAAAACAAATTTTAATAATAATAATAATGGCTAGATGAAAATAGTAGCACATTTACAACCAACAGAAGAATAACATAATTCAGATGCAAATCTAATAACTTACCATCTAATTTATGATTTTAATTTAATAACTTACCGTCTAATTTCAGATGCTGATT